GGCAGCTAAAAGAAAGCAGGAGTGCGCATACTTAGACAAAATAGACTTTAAGTAAAAAAAATTCTAGCAGGACATAAAACTATAAAGTGAGAACACCCAAAAGCTGACTACCTTGTAATAATTATGCTTAGCATTTTATTAACTATCTTCTAACATATATACATGTAAATAACAGAGATGTATGCATGTATTTTACACTTTTAACAGGCACTTTTTTTACATTGCTTACCTATCAGTTTCTCCTATATACATACCTTCACAAATCCCCACAGTCCCCTTCTGTAGAACAATGTTACAGATCTGGTGAACATATCCCACATCTTTCTCCATGTTCATACAATCATATATATACAATACGACACAGTTGCCTTCAATTCATACACCAAAAATGTTTACAATTTCATCACAGATAAAATATTTATGACTAATGAGGAATATATAAAAAGTAACCATATACAATTGTGTAAATACAATCCAGCTTAAGAAATAGAATACACAAAATAACTTTGACCCTTTGCAAACTTATCTCTTCATTTATCCTCCTCCCTGAAGTTATTTACCATTCCTGAATTTTATTTACCATACCCTTGTTTTTCATTATGTATCACTTATGCACAAAGTACAATTTATTTTGCCTCTTTTAAAAAATTTTATGAATGGAATCGTACCGTATGTATATTTTGATGACTCTTTGCTCATCATATTTGTTAGATTCAGTAATTTTCACTGGTGTGTACTATTCCACCGTAGGTACTCCACACCTAATTATCCATCCTATTTTTTTTATTTGTTTGTTTGTTTATTTATTTATTTTTAGGAAGATTAGCCCCAAGCTAACATCTGCCACCAATCCTCCTCTTTTTGTTGAAGAAGATTGGCCCTGAGCTAACATCTGTCCCTATCTTCCTCTACTTTATATGTGGGATGCCTGCCACAGCATGGCTTGATAAGCAGCGCATAGGTCCATGCCCAGGATCCTAACCAGCAAACCCCGGGGCACTGAAGCAGAGCATGTGAACTTAACTGCTATGTCACCGGGCTGGCCCCTATCCATCCTACTTTTGATGGGCATGTTTTATTTCCAGATTTGTTACTGCAATGATATTAGTAAAAGCAATGGTACTGAGTTTGATGACAGAGAAAGTGTTTTTAATGATTTTTAGCTGTGATGAGGCTAGTTAGGGAGAAGCAAAAGAGAGACGTTTGGAGGAGAAACAAACCAATAATAAACCAGAAAAAAACTCTTTTCTCTTTTTTTTCAGGAACATTTAGGACTTTCTTCTGAAATGGTAACAGAAAAGGAATTTTCTCTTCTTGCCCAATACTGGATCCATTAACTGTTCATCTATTTTTTAAAGTATTTTATTTTATTTTTCGATTTTCTCCCCAAAGCCCCCCAGTACATAGTTGCATATTTTTAGTTGTGGGTCCTTCTAGTTGTGGCAAGTGGGATGCTGCCTCAGCACGGCCCGTGAGCAGCGCCATGTCCATGCCCAGGATTTGAACTGGCGAAACCCTGGGCCACCAAACCGCAGAGCGCAAACTTAACCACTCAGCCACAGGGCCAGCCCCTGTTCACCTATTTTTATCTACCACTTCAGATCAGAAAAGAAGTCTGTCATAAATGTCAGAAGAAACTACAAATGTTTACATTCAAAATTGCCAATTGCAACAGAGAAATCAGGCCCTGCCTAGGAAACAGAAGCCTGGTTTTCTCTTTTCATATTCTAACTTTTCATTATGGAAATTTTCAAACACACACAAAAGTAGAGAGAAGAGCATAACGAATATTATGTACTCATATACCTTGAGCAATTACTGATTTGCAGCTGTTTTTCATAAACACCCCTACTGACTTCCCACTGGGTTATTTTAAAGCAAATTACGAATAATGTACCATTTCCATAAATATCTTAGGATGTTATCTCTAAAGAGATAGACTTTTAAAAGAGCATAACCACAAAACCATCATCATAACCAGAAAAATTAATTATTCTTTCCAATGTCTAGTGTTTGGAGTTCTCCAATTGTCTTTTTTTTTTTTTTAATTGAGGTAACATTGGTTTATAGTATTATATAGATTTCAGGTGTCCATCACTATAATTTGACTTCTGTATACACTACAGTGTGTTCACCATCAAAACTCTAGTTTCCATCTGCCACCTTTCCTCCTTTCCCCCTCCCTCCAACACTCTTCCCCTCGAGTAACCACCAATCTCTCCTCTGTGTCTATGTTTGTTTGTTGCTGTTGTTTACCTCCATGTATGAGTGAAATCATATGGTATTTGTCCTGCTCCATCTGGCTGATTTCACTTAACATAATACCCTCAAGGTCCATCCATGTTGTTGCAAATGGCAAGATTTCATCTTTTTTTTATGGCCGAGTAGGAGTTATATATATATCTCTCTCTCAAATCTTCTTTATCCACTTATCTGTAATTGGGCGCAGAGGTTGTTTCCATGTCTTGGCTCTTGTAAATAATGCAGCAATGAATGCACGGGTGCACCCATCTTTTCCAACTAGTGTTTTCATATTCTTTGGATGAATACCCAGAAGTGGGATAGCTGGATTACATAGTAGTTCTATTCTTAATTTTTTGAGGAATCTTCATACTGTTTTCTGTAACAGTTGCACCAATTTACATTCCCACCAGCAGTCTACAAGGGTTCCTTTTTCTCCACATCCTCTCCCATGCTTACTTCTTGTCTTTTTAAAAACAGCCATTCTGACAGATGTGAGGTGATAGCTCATTGTGGTTTTGATTTGCCTTTTCCTAATAATTAGTGATGTTGAACACCTTTTCATGTGCCTGTTGGCCATCTGTATATCTTTGGGGAAATGTCTGTTCATATCTTCTGCCCATTTTTCAATCAGGTGGTTTATTTTTGTTGCTGTTGACTTGTATGATTCTTTATATATTTTGGAGATTAACCCCTTATCAGATGAATTGCAAATATCTTCTCCCAATTGGTAGGTTTTCTTTTCATTTTGTGGATGGTTTCCTTTGCTGGACAAAAGCATTTTAGTTTGATGTAGTCCCATTTTTAAATTTTTGCTTTTGTTTCCCTTGCCTGATGAGACATATTCAAAAAGATACTGCAAAAACTGATGTCAAAGAGTTTACCACCTATGTTTTATTCTAGGAGTTTTATAGTTTCAGGCCTTACATTCAAGTCTGTAATCCATTTTGAGTTAATTTTTGTGCATGGTGTAAGATAATGGTCTACTTTCATTCTTTTGCATATGGCTGTCCAGTTTTCCCAACATCATTTATTGGAGAGACTTTCCTTTCTCCATTGTATGTTCTTGGCTCCTTTGCAAAAAATTAGCTGTGCACAGATGTGTGGGTTTATTTCTGGGATTTCAGTTCTGTTCCATTGATCTGTGTATCTGTTTTTCTGCCAATACCATGATGTTTTGCTTACCATACCTTTGTAGTATACTTTGAAATCAGGGAGTGTGATCCCTCCAGCTATGTTCTGTTTTCTCAGGACTGCTTTGGCAAAACAAATAGTTTTCTGCTGTACTGATCATGTAGTCTCAAACGGGTTCCTTGCCTTGCCTGACCTACGCACTAGGACATATGATTCCCTAATTCTGTGCTCTGTTCCAATCTACCTGCCTCTACAAGTGGGAAGTTATTTCCTTAATCTAGGGCTTTTAAAGCTATCTGCTCAAGCCTCCTCAACATGACAGGAGAAGCCTACCTCAGCCACTCCATGACTGGATGTTACTTCTATTTCTTCGTTCTTTTTAAAAGTTATGCTGCTTTGCATTCTTTCCTGTAAAACATCTTTGACTCATTAGAAAACATCTAAATCATTTGACAGATAAATTGCAAATCTTTTTCTGCATCTGAAATTTGATGTTCCAAGAAGATGTAATAACACGACTCTATTTTATAGATAATGAAATTGTGGATTATTGTCACTCACTGTCACAACACAAAGTCACAATTTCCCAGGAACATATAGTGGTCGGTAGTCACACAATCTAACACATACCAGGCTAGACAGCACAACCCTGTTTTTCAAAGCCAGTTGGACAGTGATTCACTTTCATAATCACCATAGTAAGCACGTAAAAGAAAAGCCTATCAAAAAAACCTCACAAATACTGTCATCTTTACCTTACAGATATTAACAGAAACAATGTCACAGACTTCCTCACGTCTCTCAGTGCTATAAAGACCTTGGCACAAGTCCCCATGGTTACAATATCCATTCACCACCACTTATTGTTGCTTTCCAACACAGCAGGTCACCTCTAACACAAACAGCCTTACACCTAAGGAAACAAAGACTCACACTGGCAGAAACTACCCCATGAACATACACAACTCCACACAGGGTCCCAGACACCGAATGGGACCCACAAACTCACCCAGTGCAAAACACACCCATCTGTTCCACTGCCAGACCCTGCTCCAGTCCGTCTCTCACACCCAGGTAAGCTGGTGGCCCTGCCCAGGGTCACTCCCGTGGACTTTACCAGGGATGCTCCCTCCTCCCTGATGCCCCAGTCCCTGGTCACCCTTCATCCCCATCTCCACCCACTCTGGACTTCAGAATGCGTGCCCTAGCTTTCGCTGTGAACCTTGAATTCGCCCTCAGCCACGCCAAAGACAACCGACCCTCCAAGGTGGCCCCAGCCGGAACCTACTCCCCGCCGCAGGGATCACGGCTCGGGTGGAGCTTCGCAAAACGCGCCGCAGACGGGCGGGGCCGCGTTGCATGCTGGGAGCCTTCTGAAGCTCCACGTTCCCAGCTTCCGGAGATTCGCCGGCTGTGGACTACATTTCCCAGAAGTCTCCGGGCCCAGGTCCTTTCAGGGCGACGAGCGTTCGCCTGCGGAGAGCGCTTCGAACCGCCGGGCTCCCCGCCTCGGAGGCTTTTCCGGCTCTTCTTTCCCAGAAGCATCTGGGCCCGAGCTCGCCTCGATCTCTGGGTCCCTTTCCGGTGTCCTCAAGGCTTTTGGACCCTGCGCGGTGAGTCGCTCGTGTCCGAGGAAGTGATCGGCGCCGGGTGAGGGTGGGAGGGCTCCGCGGACTTCACCGGAGCCGGATTGGGACCCCGGGGGGGATGGGGGGCACCGCGAGGGGCGGACGGAGCGTGGCGAGTCCGGAGCCGCAAGCCGGGGTGCGGGAGCGGCTGAGCAGGATGGTGTGTGACAGGCGGAGTGCCCGGGCTGGGTGTGCCTCGGTGACCGCGTGTGCGGTCGGGGTGGGGAGGCGGGGATGGGGGCTGGCCTGGTGCTTTAGCTCTGGCTGTGTGCGCCCTGGGTCTCTCTAGACTCTCTTAGGGCGTGCCGGAGTTCCGTGACCGCAAGGAACGAGTCCTACCCTAAGCCACAGAGGGGACGTTTCAAGCTGGTTTCGAGCCAGAAGGCACTGGCACAGCTCGAGGGTTGCAGTGAGAATGTTCTCTCTGGAAGGGTCCTCGTGACAGGCTCCTGGGAAGACGTGATGGGGAGGACCCAGAGGTGGGATTTCTACAAGGGGCGCCTCTCAGAGCTCCTTAGGGGCCACTACATGCCTCAGAGCCACTGCAACCAGACCTCTGTCACCGAGAATTCCGTCAACTCAGAGATAGAAGCCAACCCTCCCTTTTTTTTTCTTTTTCTTGCTGAGAGAGCAAGATTCGCCCTGAGCTAACATCTGTCGCCAATCTTCCTCTTTTGTTTTTATGCTTGAGGAAGATTCGCGCTGAGCTAACATCTGTGCCAATCTTCCTCTTTTTTTTTTTCCCTGTTTTTTTTTTTTGTTTGGTTTGGTTTGCTGGGGAAGATTAGCCCTGAGCTAACATCTGTGCCAGTCGTCCTCTCTTTGGCATGTGGGTCGCTGCTGCAGCATGGCTTGATGAGCAGTCTAGGTCTGCGGCGCTGGCGAATTAACCACTAGGACACGCCAGCCCCCAACCTCCCTTCTAATTCCATTTGGCTCTGTGTGGATGAAAGCAGATGTGGCCCCAGAGGGTGTTCTGTTTGGGTTTTTTTCTTTGTTAGTTTAGTCTCTTTGTGCTCCCAGAAATGCTGGTGTCTCACGATTCCTTTTTTCCCCCCACTGCTGCCGGGTTTCTAAGAAGGACCCTGAAGAGGAGGAAAGAATTGTGGCATATTTAGAAATCAGAGTTCAGGTGAGTTTGTGTTTCTTTTTGATTTATAGAGTGACTTTTGGTTTTAGATCATGAGAATGTTAGCTTTCCTTGGCCTGAAATATCTTGCCGAGTAGGGTCGTTCCCGGGTCTTCCTTTTGGTGAATGACCCACTAGGGGGATGCATCGCTCTTCGCACGGCCCCCTATCGTCTTTCTCAATTACCAGCCATCTGCTCTTATGGCAAAGTGTTCAGATCCTTCAGTGCATTCTCTCTGTAAGGATTTTGGTGGCGTGACAATACAACTCCCGGAGATGAACGTTAGAGCTTTATTTTAGACTCACTTACTTGAGATTACTACTTACATGGGATCGTGTACAAACTATTTTTTGTCTTCTCCACGGTCATGATTTTTGGTGCAAGGCAAGGTAGAAGGGGATTATTTCAGTTAATAAATGACAACATTGAGGCTTTTAAGGGCTGAAATATGACTGGGCTGTGAGCATGGGGCTTTTGCAGTTTGCACCAACAAGGGCAGAGACTGCCAGATAATCTTTAGGTAGAAATCTGTGACGTTGCTAGCCTTGAGTTGTTTCAGGTCCAAGTTTGTGTGGGTTGTAAGAGGCAGGACTGCGTTGTGGTTAAGCTCTGGATCTGGAGCTTCTGGCTTCAAATCCTGGCTCTGGCTGTGACCAGCTCTGTGTGCTTAGATGACTCAGCATCTCTGTGCCGCATTTGCAAAATTGAGACAAAATAATACCTGCTTAATGGAGTTGTAATGATGGAAGAGGAGTTCGTATGTGTAAAGCTCCTTAAGGACAGTGCCTGCCCCATGATTCAGGCTTAGGAAATATTACGAGATGCTGTTATGGAGTGATTCTGGATCATTCTCCATCACCTTTTCATGGATTGAAATAGGAAGATGATTGTGATGGGTGTTTGCAGGTTCAAATAACTGATCATGGGGCCGGCCTGGTGGCACAGTGGTAAAGTGCGCACGTTCCGCCTCGGCAGCCTGGGGTTCGCTGGTTTGGATCCCAGGTGCAGACATGGCACCACTTGGCAAGCCATGCTGTGGCAGGCGTCCCACATATAAAGTGGAGGAAGATGGGCAAGGATGTTAGCTCAGGGCCAGTCTTCCTCAGTGAAAAAAGAGGAGGTTTGGCAGCAGTTAGCTCAGGGCTAATCTTTCTCAAAAAACAAACAAACAAACAAAAAAACCCCAAAAACTGATCAGATGCTCAAATGGCCTAGTACAGGAAATCTTAACCTCACGTCTTATTCCATTTTTGAGCTTCCAGGTGACCACAAACGTCTTGAACTTGAGACAGAAATTTTGTAAGTATTTGCAAATTCTTTTTTTTTTTTTTTGAGGAAGATTAGCCCTGAGCTAACCTCTGCTGCCAGTCCTCGTCTTTTTTGCTGAGGAAGACTGGCCCTGAGCTAACATTCATGCCCATCTTCCTCTACTTTATATGTGGGATGCTTGCCACAGTGTGGCTTGATGAGCAATGCGTAGGTCCACACCCAGGATCTGAACTGGCGAACCCTGGGCCACCAAAGCGGAATGTGTGAACTTAACTGCTGCGCCACTGGGCCAGCCCCACAAATTCATTTTTTAATGGGCAAAATGTCTATAATTTCATGAGATTATCAAGTGTACGTGACCCCAAAAAGATCTAGTTCCATTGGTCTGGAATAAAGACATAATAGCCTTAATAAAATTAGTGTCCGGTTTTACAGAAAAAGTTAAGTAAATTGCAGTATATCCTATGATGGAATAACATGCACCTAATAAAAATCATGTTTAAAAAGAATTGAGAGAAGGAAAAACGGGAATGATAGAATATTAAGCAATAGTTGTAGTTATGAACAAAAGTACTCAAGACTATTATGAGTTATCTATGAATCCCATTCAAAAAGACAGGGTTTTGAAAGACATTTTGCAAGGATTGTGTCTAAAACGTTGCTTTAACTGACCATTTGTTGAAGAGGTGGGGAGGCGTGGCCACACTTGGGAAGCACACACTTTGTGTGCCATGTTGTTCTGTTTACGTGCATTTACTTCCTTCTCAGACTTCCGGGGTGACGCACAGAATTCGTGTTCCCTCACGGGAGAATCTCGACAGTGAAAGCGTCATTGTGTTGATGAGTTACAGCTCCAGCATGTTCGACAGCTGGTAGGTGTCATTTGTTTCAGACCCACTGATTTTCAGCGTCAGACCTGGTGGTTCAGTTTTCTTAATAACTGAAATATGCCCCGCCCCTATCACTCCGTTTTTTTATATTTGCAAGTATCTTTGTATTTTTGATTATGGAATTAATACAGATTTGTTGCAAAAAATTCAGCAAGCCAGGAAACATATAGAGAAGGCAGCGAAAATTACATCCTCTAGAGTTAATCATGCCTAATATTTTGATATTTTTATTCAGAGTTTTTTCCCGTGAGCCTCTGTGTCTGATTTTATTTCTGTGGAATAAGATGACAGTAAGTGGTGATATAACTGAGTTGAAGACTTTGGCTCTTGGTTTGAGAAAGAAACTCAAGCCAGAGATGGATTTTATTTCAATCTTCAATATGTAAGAAAGAAGAGGGACCTGCCAGTGCCTCCTTTCTTATTCGAAAACCCTCAAGTATTTACAACTTTGAGAAATATAGAAATGCCATTTAAAAATTGATTACCAGGGCAGCAAAGACAGACTTTCAGAATTAGATTATTTTCAGGGTTACTTCCACAGAGAAGAGCAACGATCTCTGATATACAGTTGTCTCATGAAAGGCTATTTTACAAATAATATTTCCAAGGACAGATATTAATACCAGAGGGTGGAATAAGAAGGTTATAGTTATAAATATTCAAATAAGCCACTAATTTGCACAGAAGAACAAGAATGAGCCTCCAGTTAATGTTCTCAGCTTGACACTGAATTGGGTTGTGTTTTCTGAGCCAGCTTTCAAACGCTGACTCCTGTCTCTCCATCTGTAGCTTCTGGGAGGGGGGCGTTTTTCCTCTCTCTCTTTCTGAGAACCCGTTTTGCTCATCTTATTATTCAGGAAGAATAGTGGCTCAAGGCTGGGCTGTGCAATTTTAGTTAGCATTATAAGAAAGCAGGCCTGAGAAGCACCGCTTTCATTATGAGAAAAATGGAGAGAGTGGCATTAACTTTATTATCATGGGATAAGGGACAGTAATCTTCATCTTCAATAATAATGGCTAGGGGCTGGCCCCATGGCCGAGTGGTTAAGTTTGCACGCTCCGCTGCAGGCAGCCCAGTGTTTCATTGGTTCGAATCCTGGGCGCGGACATGGCACTGCTCGTCAAGCCACGCTGAGGCAGCGTCACACATGCCACAACTAGAAGAGCCCACAATGAAGAATATACAACTATGTACCGGGGGGCTTTGGGGAGAAAAAGCAAAAATAAAATCTTAAAAAAAAAAAAAATAATAACGGTTAAAGCTTAGATTAAGCAATTATTATACACCATTCAGTGTATTGTGTGGACTTTCTTACTTACTCTTCAGTGCAGCCATCTGTGGTAGACACTGTTCTTGTCCCTCTTTTATTGACAAGGAAATACAAGTGTTGAGAAATTGGTGACTATCAAGCTCAGATGTACATCCTGAAAATCTGACACCAGAGCCTTTGTCTTAATTTCAGAAACACTTCTCACGTTGTGTATCTTTTACAAACCTGCCTGCTTCATTAGGAAATTGATTATGCCTGTCTTTCTTTGTCCCTTAATATGGTCCAATAGCATCATGGCTAGTGAGGGTATAGTGAGCCATAATTTATTAAACCTCTTGCCTACTATTACGTAGTTTCTAATTCTTGGTTATCATAAATGATTTTGGGATGAACATCCTTGTGTATACATGTTGTGTACTTCTCTAGCTATTTAAGGATACATTTCTATACGTGGAATTTTGGGTAAAAATTTGCCTCCAATATAAGACCCTGAGATAGTAATGCTTGGGGGTTAATATAACGACTAAAAGATGTAGTTGTTACCTTTAAGACAAGGAAGACAAAATGTACATAGGAATAAGTGTAAGGCAGCCCGCAGCAAAGACCAAAAGGTTAATTCAGGTGACCTTTCTTAGGGACTCATGGGAAGGTAATTAATTATAGGCAATACTGTTGGGTCATGACCAACTTTGCGGAGGCAAGTGGAATTGATCCTGTGAGTTTCATTCCGTACAGAGTTTATCCTGCTCATGTCAGTTGCAAAGTGAGACTGATAGGATCAGGTGATTCAGCAGTTATCTGGAAGGTGTCATGTCTGAAAAGACAGGTTCAGATACAGAATAAACGCTTTTGTCAGAAGCCCTGAGAAGAAGCAAGATCGAGACCTCATCAATATATCCATGACATTTCTTGAGGAATTTCAGCCATTTTTTTCTAGGTAGGACATGAGCATACGTAGAAATCACATAGTTAGTATAATGCATGGTCATGGTTACAATAGTTTTGCAGAATAATTAAACAAAGAGGACATTATGATCACAATAAAAAGGTAAGATTGTAGTATAGAGATAGATAACTTTCCAAACTTTTTTTCATCTCTTGATGTCTGATTGTGAGTCTTTCTATATTGATATATACATATAATTTATAAACATAATCATACTATACATCCTGTAACCTGTTTTTTCTGTTGACAATATATCTTCGTTATTTTCTCCAGCCTAGCGTAGTTCCGTAGTGTTCCACGGCATGGGTGTTTTGAATGCCTTAAGAAGTCAGCTTTTTGGGCTCAGGCACTTGTACATCCTGTCTGCCCCTGTGTCCTGACCAGCTTGCTTTGCTCCTGAGCCTGTGAAGGATGTTCTAGCGTGGACCACGTGGCCCCTTCTCAGCCCTGAGCGGTGGGAACGGAGGGAGGAGGATGTGGTCTGAGCATGACTGAGTGGGCCCATCTCAGGTCCACATCAGCATTCCCCAGAACCGGGCAGTGCTGGAAACCTTCCTGCTCGAGGCCCTTGGGGTTTGGGATGAGAGTTTAGATTCCACAAATGGTGTGTGGGACGTGGGTTGGAAGCGGGAGTGGAGGAGAGAAAGCTGATATTAGCTCAAGTCAGGATGGAATCAGTCAAGCATGCCTGCTCTAAAGCTTCGTTTTCCTTCCCCAGCTCTGACTTTTCTGGATTCTGTGCGTCACCAGTCGAGGAGCCCCATGGAACATTAATGAGCTCCTGCGATTCTAGAACCATGACGGACGTAAGTTGGTATTTCTCTTTCCTTGAAATAATGTGATTTTTAGGTCATGTGACTCTTCTCTTTACTTATCCTAAAGCTTTCTGACTAACAGAACCCCATCCCTGAGCCTGCTTCTCTGTTTCTCCTCTTCCAGTGAAGGATGGTGCCAGATAGCCCGGGGTCCTCCCTGTGCGCCTTCTCCAGTCAGTGTCACCATATTCACAGGACACGTTATTCCCCTTTCTTGTGTGCTCAGTCCTCACTCAAGGGCAGTGAAGGAATGGAGTCTTTTGAGGGAAATACTGGCACTTCTGTCAAAGAATAACTCAAGGAAATGTAGTTAACAGCACACTTTTACTTGTGTACAAGGAAAACCAATAGTTTAATTGACAGATTTCGTGTATCAGAGGCACAAACAGGGTTTATATAAGAGAAGGAGGAAAGAGGAAGGAATGGAAGGCTGCAGACATTTTGAAAACAACAGTTTTCCTTTTTCAGGCAAAGATTGGCAGCCCGCTGGGAAAGAAGCCAGGCAGGACACCATGCCCTTAGGCAGCTAGATGGTCACCCAGGAGAGCAGTTCAGTTGTTTGCGCGTTCTTGTTTTGCCGTGACATGTCCATGGCAGGCTGTCCTGGGTCGTGCCCTTCATTATCATGTCCATCTTCATCCGGCCAGGGCTGCTCCATTTCCCTTCCCAGAATTTCTGTTCCCATGTCCTGTCTGGGATGTGATAAGTTAGTGATGAGGGGCTCATTGGACCACACAGGAAAGCTTGGAACGTCTTTACAGACCTGAGTTTTCCAGAGAGAGAAGGCAGAATTTGGGATTTCTTGGTCTCAGCCTCAGTTTATGTGCTTTGCATATAATCATCTGTGTCAAAGTCTGTTTTGTCATTGACCAGGACATAGAGGTCTTGGGTGACATCTGTGTCATGTATCGTATCCTGTATCAATATCCTCCAACTCAGAAAAAGGAAGGTGTTGAGCAAGGGCAGGTTGACGGTAACAAGTAAGATGATAATCCAGATTCTTAGGTACTGGATGATAATAGATTCCCAGAATTAAGGAAATCTTTAGAAGCTTTGTCCAACCTACGTGTATAAATATAATAGAGTTATTCATCTCATATATCTGTATGATGAACTGAATTGTAGCTAATAAAAACATTTTCTGTAGTCATCCTAAGAAAAACTGCTTATGATGTAACCTAACAGAATGATAGACTTGAGGTTTAACAACGATAATCCTTAATTTAATGGGAATTATTTTTCTCAAATAGAGATTTTATAGTACATTTGCAAAAAGAAGTTTTCATGGTTTTTTTCCTTATTCTTTAAAGGGAAACAAGGGTGGAGCAATTTACATTTATACAGAATTTATGAGGAAGGTTGTGTGTTTGTAGACACGCACACTATTTTTATTTAATGGAGAAGAAATTGGGATTATTTTGTATATTACCACACAGATCTGGATGGCTGAGTCATCCCGCAGTACCCGGGAAGTTTCTTCTGCTGTAACAGGATTCTTCTAGAACATGTTGACACCCTGCTTTAGTCACACTAATTTCCTTACTTTTCCCTACCCATCTCACAGGCTTCCTGCCAACCTGACTGTTACACTTCTCTCTTCTTGCACTTTATCCTTCGCAAACCTCTTCTTTTCCTCTTTGAAGTATTTCCTTAATTTAAGTTCACAAGTAATGCGTGGGTTTTTGGCTTTAGGCCCTGGTGACTTTCAGCGACGTGGCCATCGGTTTCTCTCAGGAGGAGTGGGAGTGCCTGGACCCCGCTCAGAGGGACCTGTACATGGACGTGATGCTGGAGAACTATAGTAACGTGGCCTCACTGGGTAAGGTGTCTGCCTGAACGAAATCTCTGCAGTGCCAGCTTCCTCCCCTGGGAATTACAGGGCTCGCTTTGAAGAAAGCAGGTGGCTTTCTCCTCTGTGCTCTCAAAGAAATGTTTTGGTATTTGTTGGGTTAGAAGTGGGTTCGTTAAGCGCTTGATCTCCCCACCCCTCAGTGAGCCTCGCCCCGTCCTCTGGCCCTTCCTGCACGGCCTTTCTTGAAGGATGGGGAGCTGGATTCACATTATGGGGTGCTTATGTCGTAACGGTTATCAAAGAAGCCAGGTTTCCTACTGTGTTTAACGTCAGCATTGCTCTAGACAATCTGTGTCCTTGCTGCTCAGTGTGGTTCTTTTGTTTGAGAAATCACAGGAAGGCCAGAGCAGAGCTCATGAAGGAGAGAGGACCAAAAAGGTAGTGAGGGAGGGCCCAGGTGACAGGCAGTTTTGGTGCTTTCAGCGAAGCATGTGGATTGTGTTCTCAGTGATCAGAAGCCGTGATTTGGTTTATGTGGGGTTTTAACTGTTTTCTGGTCAAGTATTACACAAATACCTAACGTCAGCTTCTTCTGGGGCTTGTTAGAAAGGCAGCAGGTCAGTTCCCAGCGCAGACCTGCAGGACAGAATCTGCATTGAGGCAAGATCCCCAGGTGATTGTTATGCACACTCGAGAAGCACCGTTCTTTGTTATTTTCAGACCCACAGGCAGGGAGTACAGCTCGACACGGGTCCTGATAACCTCTGACTTTCCACAGAGCCCCCCACCTTAGGCAGGGGCGGACTGATGCACAGAATTCATTTCCTACTAAGTGGACACGTGCCTTTACTTACAACAGACTCGAAGTTGAACATTACATTTGTGACCTTTGCATTTTACGCTGAGGTAAATCCTAAAAATGTCTCAGGAAGCTTCCTGTTTTCCCCTTAGCAGAATAACAGCAGGAATAAGAATGTGTCTAGTTACCCTGTGCTTACTGGAAACGAGGCTCTGCTCTGAGCAGTGCAAACACGCTGACTGACTGCGCCTTCGCAGCATCCCCGTGTGGTAGGTGCCATCTCCATCTCCTTATGATAGATGAGCACAGTGAGGCACATAGAGTGTAAGTGACTTCACAAGGTCACACGGCGGGTGGGAGGCAGTGGCAGCGACTGAACTAGGAAGTCTGGCTCCAGAGTCTGTGTCCTCATCCGCTGTGTTCTGTTTGCTCTAAAGACGTGGCGCCCGGATATGTCTACAAGATCCTTTTCCTGTTTATGTGATCTCATGCTCTTCATTCCTGTCATCCTTCTCTTCTCTGAAGTCTTTATCAATATTGTTTCTACCTTCATTGCAAATTTAACCAAGTCTTTTGAGCTTATAATTTTTTTCAAATGTCTATACCATCTGGCATTTCTTTTTCTTATAAGCAGAGCCTCCCTTCCTAAGCCAGATGTGACCACATTGTTGGAGCAAGAAGAAGAGCCCTGGATGGTAGTGAGGGGAGGGCCAAGAATTTGCAACCTAGGAAGGCGGAGGCAGGAGAGAACCATGACTGGTCCCAGAGGAGAAGGAGGAACAGCTGGGATGGGGTTGGAAAGCTCCCTATGATGGACCATGGTCTGGGGAGTGAAGGCCCGACCCCTGGGAGGAAATAGACATCTCAGTTTGGGCTCCCAAAGGAACCTCATCTTTCTCTCGTTTCCCACTCCTTGTTTTTCTTCTCACATTTCCCTCCCACGTCAGTGAGGAAGGTGTTCTTTTTTGTTTCCAGTGCAACCATTTTGCTTATATGCTGGATTCAGCTGCTTGCCAGCCCTTTTGCATTTGTGTGTGTGTGTGAACGAATGTATGCATTCATTCATAAATTCTGCAAATATTTTGAGTGCCTACTCCTAGCCAAGCATTGTACTGGCACTATTAATACAATCACGAACAAGATTGATAACACTCATTCTTGTGCAGTTTAGGTAGTCAGGAAAAACATAAAATAAATAAGTAAATAAATGGACAAAGAATGTCATGTAATGAAACATGCTGTTCAGGAGAGGTAAACAGCATAAGAGAATAGAAAATGATAGGAATTGACAGGACTGATGCAGATAAGATGGTCAGGGAAAGCTTTCTTGACTAGAAACATGAAGCCTGGGATCAAGTTATATGAATATCTGGAGGAAGATATGTCAAGCACCATGAACAGCATATGCAAAGGCCCTGTGGTTAGAAAGGAACTTTATTGGAGCACCTGTGAGAAGGCCAGGGCAGAATTAGTAAAGGAGGGTATACTGAGAAATCAGGTCAGGGTGATAGGCAAGGGCTGGGTAATATGCAATTTTTTTGTTGTTTTAGTAAGTTGCATTGTTTAGTCTCTTTAGGTCTGAAACAGTTCATACATCTTTCCTTGGCTTGCATTCCCTGCTGCTTTGGAAGTTCGCATGACCCAGCTGTTTTGTCCAGTGTTCCTCGGTTTGGGTTTGCCTGCTCCTTCTTCTTAATTGATTCAGATTATGCGTCTTTGGTGGGCGTATCACAGAATCGATGCTGCGTTCCCACTCTCCTTGCCTTCTGTCAGGCAGCGCAAATGACTTGTCATCACTGATGATGCTCCCCTTGAACTTTGATTCGAGTGGTGTCTGCCAGCCTCCTGCCTGTAAAATTAAGCAGTTTTCCTTTCATGAGTATTTTGTGAGGAGGAACTTGGAGACTAGTAAATAGCGTATTCCTCTTCAAACTTTCTGTTTATTCATATAATGGATTTCTAGTCAGTGGATTGTAATCTTTTCTTCCCATTATTTATTTTGAAGTTCAGAATATTTGAGCTTGTCCCAGATTTGTCCGGTGGGGACCTGTCACGATGGCTTTTGCGTCCGTCGGCACATCTCCATCACTCTTTGAGCACCTCCTTGTTTTCTGACACAGCAACACGTTCCAGGCTCATCCCGTGCTTTCCCGTGCTCCAGCCCACTCAGCCGTTTCTTCAAGGTGCCCTGGTTTCAGTTAGTTGAGAATGGTATTTAGAAACTAAAATCTGAATACAGATTTGCTCATTTCTACTGGGAGTCGGCTGCTCCCAGGCCCTCTCAGTGGACAGAGCTAGGGACTATACTAATATGCGTATACAGCATATCCATGCAAACACATTACATCTATATATTGAAAACCGTGAGTTCACACAGACCTCTCCAATTCCAGGTCAACACTGCGGGTTTCATTTTGGCTTATTCACTTTCCGTATTTCTAACTCCCTGCTCTGACAGTGAAAAACCTGGCTTCCGTTACCCTTCACATATTTGCTTACTTGATCAAACTCTCTCTACGTAAGCAATCTTGCATCACCACCACCACCACCTTGACCCTGTGATGGCCCCTCTCATCCCAGTTGGGTTGACAACCCATGCCAGGTCCCTTACACACAGACATTTGTCCTATCCTGCTTGTCCTGACTCCCCACATGGGCAACCCTTTATACTGACACCCTTCTCACCCTGGTTGACCTTCAGTACCTTCCTCTGGGCTTCATTTGATTAAATCTTGACCGCTGAGTATGCATTTTAAAAATATCGCATGTGATGAAATGGGAAGTATTCGTTCAGCTCTTCCGCCGTGTACCAAAGTGTGACGGTTGCCGTGACGAAGACCGCTGGTGCAGTTGTTTATTGTGAATGAAACTAGCTGCTTGTTTCGTGGAACACCTTTTTTTTTTTTTTCTTGAAAGAATGACTGATGGACAAACTATGGCTATCCAGACCAAGGGAGTTGGAAAACATTTTCTTGCAAGTGAGCCTGTCACTGCAAGAACAACTAATGGTATTTGTTGCCAATGATAAAATTCAAACTTTTAAGTAAAAATGAGAATTGTGTAAAACCTATATCCGCCAATTGGAGCTTTATAGTTTCCCAATATATAAACATTTTTCTGATGAGATAAGTGGTAATATTAATGTGATTTTTTTGATGCTATATAATGAAATATGTCAATATCTCAAAGATCTACATAACTCAGTAAACCACTATTTTTCAGATAACCAGTGCATGATTACAAAATTATGCATGGATAAAGATCATCCAAATTGCAATGGTTTTTTTTTTTTTTTTTTGAGGAAGATTAGCTCTGAGCTAACTTCTGCCAATCCTCTTCTTTTTGCTGAGGAAGACTGGCCCTGAGCTAACATCTGTGCCCATCTTCCTCTACTTTATATGTGGGACGCCTGTCACAGCATGGCTTGCCAAGCAGTGCCATGTCTACACCTGGGATCCAAACTGGCGAACCCCGGGCTGCCAAAGCAGAACGGGTGAACTTAACCGCTGTGCCACTGGGCCGGCCCCTGCAATGGATTTCAATGTAACATAGTATGAAAAGTTCATGGGTGTGGTTGCATATTCCACGTTGCTGCTAAGCTTTAACAAACTACCACTTCTCAAGTTTTACTGTTGTATCAAAGAATAATACCCACAATTATCTTATCAGGCTCATAAAATATTCTGCCATTTTACAATTACATATCAATGGGAGGCTGGATTTTCTTCATATATTTCAACCAAAATAGCATTGCCACAGATGGAATGCAGAAGCATGTATGAAAATCCAGTTGTCTTCTGTTAAGCCAGATATTCAAGAGATTTGCAAAAGATTAGAACAACACTTCATTAATTTTTTTGTCTTGGGAAATATAATTACTTTTCATAGAATATGTTTATTGTGTTAACATTTAATGATTTGTTTTAAAATGAATGAATACCTCTTTAAATTTCTCGGTTTTAATTTCTAAGACGGTAAACATCACAAGATATAACCCACATCAACAAAAGCTCTTTTGAGTCCTCCATGATTTTTTTAACATCTAAAAAGAAGTTAAGCTTGTATTTATTTATTTATTAACATCATTAAGCCTTACACAAAACATTCAAGTACCAAGTAATTATACTGCACGTCCTTGCATAACAATTCAAATTTATTGAACTATCTTTTGATGCTAAGTTGTACAAAACTACACTCCTTTTAGTTTACATTTGGCTACCTCAAAGTA